CCGCGCGATATTTGTAGTTATGGCGTGTACCGTAATATTCGCTTGTATATTTCGTAGGAGTAGGGATTAGTCTAAAGTTGTTCACAGTAGAAATGGACGTACGAGTGTACGTCACCTTACCTATTGACTGGCCTATCTTGGTTTCAATTCTCGGGGCATCTATGAATACGTATACGCGTATTATACCACAGGGCACAGAATAAGACAATAACAATACTGTATGTCTGTATACAATACTGCGTATACTTCAAACGGTTAGTGTAAACCGGTACTTGTTGCACTGGCGCACTGCCAACGATTACAAAATAATTAATATTTAATATTTAAATATCTATCAACCTATCCATAATATAACCCTAAATATGGGTGGCCTCCTTTTCGGCTAGTAGTATAGTTTTCTTTAAAATGTACATTTATAACAGAACTTAGGGGATGTTACAGTGACATTAATCATTATTGTCTCAAGCGCGTAGCATGTCAAATTTTACGCTTAGCAAAACACATTAATTTCCGTTAATTWAAAAATTTGAGTGAATTGAGCTATAAAATTTAAAGTTAATATTATTAAATGCTAACAAAAAAAATTGTGTGTATGTATTCTTATATTTTTTTAGTAAATATAAGAATAACTTATGAGGAACTTTGTATTAAATTTTCAAGTATTTTGATTGGACCAAAAAAATTTTATCGACATTTCAAAAAAAAATTTTCAGACAAATTGAAAAATTCAGTCGTCTATTGTTAAGGTGAATACAACGGTGTATTTTTAATAATTAAATTTATCATTTATTTTCGTTTGTTTTTTTTTGTTTTTTCGGAGTGCGGTGCGTTTCGGTACGAGTTTTATTTGCGACTGACTAACGGCTGGTTAAAGACCGTCGGTGATTGTCGCCTTTATTATATAAAAATATAAATAACCCGACCGGTCTCCATCACGAACAATAATTATTAGCTTTACCTGTGATAAAGCGACTCGTACCGAACACAGCCGCCCGCCTTGAAACATTAATTTTCAATCTAAATTTACAATGAAATAACAAATAATACATTAATTAAATTGATATCGAATATAACATATTTACACTAATTAATAATTTTAACAATACCAATAAATCGTATATAAATAACTCAATAGACATAACTGCCTCTTTGACAAAAAAAAAATATAATAATAAGAAAACAATACAAATTTAATATCAATTACTACTGGCTCCGTGTGGTATTGATTAACTCGTGTTCCCTTCAAATGGCAGAGGACAAAGTAACCGCACAGCCGTTTTCCATACACCACTGTTGGTTTGAACAGACGCCGCCCGAACCACACCATCAGTGCCAGATTCTAGCTTGACCACCCGTCCTAGCCGCCACTGCAGGGGGGTAAATTGCTGTCTCGAATTATTACCACGGTTCCGATTTTTATTGACGGGCCATTATTTTTTATTGTACTTGCCCATTTAACCCTTACTTGAAGCTGATTAAGGTATTCGGTACTCCAGCGATTACATAGCGTTTGAGAATATTTAGTAACTCTTCGCCACCTGTCCAACCGGTTATCAGGTGTGGTTGTTTCGTCGGGCTCTGGTATCGCATTTATAGCGTCCCCAATTAAAAAATGCCCGGGCGTTAAAAAAGAAAGATCGACTGGATCAGAGGACATTGGCGTTATTGGACGGGAATTTAAACAAGCCTCTACCCGGGTCAGTACCGTACTCATTTCTTCATATGTAAGCCTAGACTCGCCTAACACTTTATATAGTAAACTCTTCATAGATTTTACAGCCGCCTCCCACAACCCTCCGAAATGCGGTGAACGTGGCGGTATGCACTTCCATTCGACGCCTTTGTCCGCGAGAACTGTCATAATTTCGTTTTGGTGATCCGTGGATTGAAATAATTGAAATATTTCTTTGAGTTGCCTTTGCGCTCTAACAAAATTAGTGGCGTTATCAGAATATATGACTGAACTTCGACCTCGACGATCAAAAAACCTGTTTAACGCCTGTAAAAACGTTTTTGTCGTCAAGTCACTAACCAATTCTATATGGACAGCCTTTGTCGCGAAACAAAAAAATATTCCGATGTACCCCTTTGTACATGCTGCTTTTCTTCGCAAGTTGCTTTTTACCATTATCGGCCCAGCGAAGTCGATACCGCATCGTGAAAACGGTCGACTCGGCGTCACTCTGTCGCGCGGTAAATCGCCCATAATCGGCTGCACGATAACCGGTTTTAATTTAAAACACGTAACACATTTATGCACGGTATTACGAGCGATATTACGCGCGTTCAACGGCCAATACCGTTGTCGGATCGACGCTACGAGCGCTTGTGGTCCACTATGCAACAGTTTTACGTGTTCACTGTGAAATAGCAATCGGGTGTACGCGCTATCACTAGGTAGAACTATCGGGTTTCGCTGATACACGTTCAAGGTTATTGCATTTTTTAATCTACCACCTACGCGTAGAATTTCTTCATCCTCATAATAGGGTCGTAATCTAAATAATTTACTGTTCRTGGCTACTTGCATACCTCCCCTTAAAGCCTTTATCTCTTTTTCGAAATGTTCTTTCTGCACTATTTTTATTAATACGAGATTTGCGTGTTGTAGTAAACCGACGGAGTCGCTCTACTATTTTTTTAATTACATTAACATATTATAATTA